GTGAGGACAACTCTAGGTGGCTAATATGGGAGGGGAGGGGAGGGGCAGGGCTCCTCTGTCTTTACCAGAAGATAGACATTAATGAGGTAAAGTTCCCCCAATTTACTGTATTTCTGTTCTTGGAAAGAACTTCCCTTACTTTGATGTGATTCAAAGCTTAATAGGTCATGTTGCTGTAATAGGCAGTTTGAGAGGAGAGCAGCCAGAGGGAGGTGCCTCTCCTTCCAGAAAAGTTGGAGTGAGGTGCCCTCACAACATGTTCAGGGCCACAAGCTGTCAAAGTTGCAATGATGGAGAAGGATTTTCAGAGGAGTTGTTTTCCCCTATGATAAATATTCCAGCGATTGAGGGGTGGGTGGGGTGATTTAGATCTGTGGCTCCCAGCCTTGGGTACTCCCAGATGTTCTTGGACTAAAAGTTAAACTCCCAGAAGCCTTCACCACCAGCTGTGCTGGCCATGAGCTGCAGTCCAAGAACATCTGGGAACCCATGTTTGGGAACCAAATGGTTTACTGGTTTTATTGGTTGGCATGCCATGTTGAAACACCTTGGAATTTTGCCAGAAGGAAAGGCATATTCCGTGTCCGATAGACTATATAGCAAGAGGGGTGTGGTTTTGTAAGGTTATTTATTTATTTATTTATTTTATATCCCGCCTATCTAGTCAATTAAGACCACTCTAGGTTAGACTCCAACTCTCCCTTTTCCCCAAACAATGTCACTACTGTTGCCTTTCTCAGCATCTTCTGGGGAACGCTGGAGGTGGTGGCCCCAAGACACCCCTTCTGCTTTTAAGGAGAGGACCTAGCAAATCAAAAGCAAAGCAAAACATGCTGCTTATATACCGCACATAGCACTTAAAAAGCACTCTCTGGGTGGTTCATAAGTTAATTAGGTCAGCTAGACCACTGGTTCTTAACCTTGGGTTACTCAGGAGTTTTGGACTGCAACTCCCAGAAGCCTTCACCACCAACTGTGCTGGCTGGGGTTTCTGGGAGTTGCAGTTCAAAAACATCGGAGTAACAAAGGTTAAGAACCACTGAGCTAGACCAGTCCACACACACACACACACACACACACCCAGCAAGGTGGGTACACATTTTACCAACCTCAGAGGTATAGGGGGCTGAGTCGACCCGGTTTAACCACTGCACCATGAAGCTTTTCATTGCACTGTATTAAATACCTAGACATAAATCTTTTGACAGCCAAAGTGACAGAGCTTCAATTCCTAGACATGCCAATCTCAGGAAGCAAAAGGAGAGACTAGCGGTCGTCCTTCACCTTTGCCCCCTTGCTGCCCGCTTTCCTAACACTCCAAACACTGCTGCCTGAGAGGGTGACCCCATTCTGCCAAAGGACAGGGCCGGCCGTGACAAAAACACTCCCATAAGAACATGGAACTGGTTATCTTGGCTCGGCATTTATCTTGCACAGCTGGAAACTGGCAGAAGGACTTCCTATCTCTTCTCCAAATCACCCAAACACACCGGCTTTCAACAACTAGGTTTTGGAAACATGGCTGCTTTGGACAACAACTCCCATAATTCCTCTGCCAACGGGGCCTCGACCCGAATTTGGCTCAGGTTCTCTAACAAGCCCGGCCTTCCTATCCTGGGAAGGTGTAGAAATATCATTTGTGAACTTGAAGCAGGGCGGATGAAATTATGCTTTTTTAACATGTTGCTGAGCTCAATTTCTCACGTGCCAGGCCGTGGGGAGGGCTGATGGACCTTGTAGTATTATGTTGAGACCAGGCTTTGCAACCGCAGCTGGGGACTGGTGGCCAAGAGCATGCTGCTGGACCCACAATGCCTCTCACTCAGAGAGCCGAGAGCAAGCCCTCATGGGAGTGGAAGTCCAACAACATCCAGAAAAAGTCCAGAAAAAGTAATTGTTTTCCCAAAGCTCCAACCTAGTAATGTGTCAGAAGGTCAAAAGGGATGGTTGATGTCGTAACTGAAGCTACTGAAAGACGAGATGGAGGCAGCCAGTCCAGAAGAGAGAGGCACACAATCTCAATCAGGTGAGTTCCTGCAAGAATTTGTGTTTTCAGTGGTTAAAAGTCAGTTTTAAAAGGAAGGTTTCGTCTGCTGGCAGAAGCACTGCCTGGAGAAGGACAACCTAAACCTCATGAGGCAAGGAGTTCCATAGGCTGGGAGCAACAACAAAAAATTGCCTCTTTGGTTCTTACCAAACATACCTGCCATGCCAGTGGCACCAAGATAAGCCCTTCCCAAGATTGGGGGGGGAGGGAAGAATGTATAATAAGCATAAGAGATTAATTCGTGTCATGGCAGCCACATTGGACATTCTGAGGAATGGGCACACCTGGCACGCCTGGTACTCTTGGGCACCGTTGACACCTGGAAATCCTGGCTCAGGGATGGGTCCAGGAGTACACCCAAGCTGCAAGACTTGGGGGAGGATCAAAAGGGCTACAATAATAATCAGAATAATAAACATAACTGTAAACACCATAATAATAATCATAATATTCATCAAAATTTACAAACAAATCACACAACTTCCAGTGTCTCTACATTAATGCCAGGAATATGGGGAAGAAACAAGAACTGGAAATGTCAATTCAGGAGGGTAAATACAACTTTATTTATTTATTTATTTATTTAATTTATATCCCGCCTATCTGGTCTTACGACCACTCTAGGCGGCTTGATAGGAATAACTGAAACTTGGTGGCATGACTCCCATGACTGGAATACAGCAACTGAGGGATATAAACTGATCAAAAAGAACAGAGAGAATAAAAAAGGGGAGGTAGAGTTGAGCTATATGTAAAAAAAATACAGATTCCTGCACAGAAATACAGGGGGAGGAGAGTGGCTGTCCCATTGAGAGCATCTGGATCAATCTATTTGGGGCAAAAAAAACAAAAGGAACTTGGTAGCTGGAA